AAAACCGCTCCGGTTTCTTTCCACCCGCCGGGAGCCGGGGGGAGGGGCGCTCGGGTCCCGCCGGGCCGGGGCTTGTATCTTACCCCCTTCGCAAGGCGCTGGGTTCTTGCAGGTGTGGATGTGGTCTGGATGTTGTCCTGTGTCCTGTGGTCTCTATTTTAGGAAGATTTTTCTTTGTTATATTTTCATAGCTCTATGTGTTTCTGGGAGGAGATTTCCACTGCTCTACTCACGCCGCCATCTTGGCTCCGCCCTCTGATACTACTTTTAAAAATACTTTTGCGAAGGAATATACTGTTTTGCTCTGTAAAAGCAGAACATGGTAAATGTATGCTGCATTTTGGATTGCTTTTCTTTAGGATTTTAATTTTAAAGTAGTACTAGCCAAATAAGGTACTGTAATATCTTCTTTTAAAATATTATCAGAGGAAGGAAATTCTCTTTTGAAGAGAAAATGTGCATTCTAATTATCTTTGGTTGTAATGCTGTCTTATTTCCCTTGGGTAGACTAAAAAATCTCCCAAGGATATAAAAATTATTAGTAATAAATTCAATTATCCCCTAGTAGAAAGGAACACTGACATGCAGACTACAGAAAATAAAACACTGGATATGTTGATGATTGAAAATGATATTTTCATATGATTTCAGTTATATTAATTTGTATTTTGTACTTTTTCTTCCAGTATGAGAATGACATTATCACCATTGATCTGATGCAAAATTCTTCTGAGAAAACTCAGAATGATGTGGACATTGCTGATGTGGCTTATTATTTTGAAAAAGATGTGAGTCTGATCTTCCTCATTTTAACTCCTGTGTTTAGAAATCTAATGTTGTCTATCATGCCTCAATGAATCAAAGATATTTCAACATCTATTTCTCCACTTACATAAAGGTCAACCATACCCTTTAAGTATTCTTCAAATGATTCTTATCCTGCAGTTAATTCTGTCCTTGCAAGAAAAGGTGCGCACATATACCTTTCTTATTTGTTTGTATATTTATGCCTCTTAGTCAAATTGTTCTGCCTAGAATATCTCTTAGAATTCTTTTTACTACCTTCTTGGTAGTTAGTATGTATAACTTTCCCTGGTGTATTTCCATGCACAAGAGATTATGTAAGGAATGCTGTGTAACTGGTGTAATGAAAATGGTTTAAACTTTAATATATAGTGAGCTGTTTTCTGATGAAACTTGAAATTTGCTTCAAAGTAATCTGGCCTGGGAGGAAGGATAGAAGGAAGAATGGATATAAGATTGGCCATTTGTTTATATTGTTGGATCTGGGTATAGTTACGTGGGACTTCATCGTACTTTTCTTCCTACTTTTGTATATGTTTGAAAATAATCCTGTAATAAACTTTTTTTTTAAGTTTTGATGTATGAGATTATTATTGCTGAAACCATAGATTCTTAGCAGCAGTTCTTTCGGTATATAATTGGCATGGAGGTTATTATTGCTGAAACCATAGATTCTTGGCAGCAGTTCTTTCGGTATATAATTGGCATGTAAATTGTATGTGGCCATGGTAGTTTTTCTTAAATATTTTTTATTGCTGTTCTCCTCAACCTGTAGGTTAAAGATGAATCCTTGTTCCACTCCAACAAAATGGACCTGAGAGTAAATGGGGAACAATTGGATCTGGATCCTGGTCGAACTTTAATTTACTATGTTGATGAAAAACCACCAGAATTTTCAATGCAGGGTCTCCAAGCTGGTATTATTGCTGTCATTGTGGTGGTGGTAATAGCAATTATTGCTGGAATAGTTGTGCTGGTGAGTATAGAACAAGTAAAATTTCATTTAGGGGTGTATTCTTTCAAGAAAAGGTGAAAAGTGTGAAAAAGCTACAATCATGTTCCGAAACAATAATGAAACTCATTTTTTATAATCCTATAGAGTGGATGAACCTATTACACTTCTGGTCCTTTTTTATAAAATAGGTACTTTATGAAGGAAGAGAGAATACTAATCTAACAAGCATTTATAGCCAAACCTGTCACAGGTCAGCTATGTTGCCATAAAGCAGCAAATGTCCTTCAGGTCTCCTCACTGCAGAGAATTCAGCACTTCCGCTATCATGAGTGCAAAATACCTGAACTTTTCAAACTGTTCAGAGAAATGAAACAGAATGCAAATTAAGGTTAGTGTAGAAAAGAGTTGAAAGTGATATATATGAAGTAATAATTCTAAATAAAATTAGCAAATTGAACTTAGCAGTGCATCAGAAGATGAATGTATACCTGAATGTGCAGGGTTTATTCCAGAAATGTAAGGATGCTTTGGTGTCAGCAAATCTTAACCAAACAACAGCATTCAGCAGTAGATTTGTGGGTGTGCGGGAATTTGCATTTTCAGTTCAGTGGAATTACTACACTTGGCTATGCACCTGGAGGAAAGAAAAAGTTAAATCCCCGTTTCACCCCACCAGGACTGGCTGTATTGCCCATCTGTGTGTGAATGAATGGCACATCCTGGAGCCACAGCATTGTGATAGGAGTTGGGCTATACATCCATGTTCAAACACAAATTCTAGACGGAGTATAGCCAAAAATGTTGCAAAGTAAAAAAGTCTCAAAAATAATTTAGGAAATGTTTGTGCAACTTTGTGGTAAAGGAAGGAAGGAATCTGGAATCCATGAAGGAAAAGATATTTGACTTCTTCATTAAACATTTAAGTGAAAAATGTCAGTGATAGGCTGGGGGGAAATATTCATAATGTATAAAATGCAAGTTATTATATATAATATATAAAGAGTTCTTACAAACTGAAGAGAAAACTAAATAAATGGCAACAGGTGTGGATAGACAATTTATAGAAGAATAATTCCAGATGGCAAATGAACACATGAAAGGTTAGTTATAGATATCTACTGGTCCTGTAGAAATGAATCCACAGAAACATGAGGAACCATGGTCAAGGCTGTGTATCGCAGCTTTGCTAGTAAGGGTGAATCTTCAAACAACCTGAGTGTATGTCTGTAGGAGAATGGATGAGTAAACTGGAATATCTATGCTGTGGAGTAAAGTGGCTATTAAAAATAATGAATTCAGTCTATTGCTTTTGATCTGGAAGGGTTCCTGTGATGTTGATAGAGGCTGTGCAAAGAGGAAAATGATACTGGATGATTCCCATTTAGACCCCCCCCCCATACACCAAAACTTAAATGCATATGTTTATATTTGTATTAGGGTAGGGCAAGATGTGGCAAAATGCATACCAAGCTGTTAAATTTTATGAAAAATTATTCATTGTCTTATTGATGTTTTTTTTGTTAATTTCACTGATTGTGGTAGATTTTATTTTTTTATATATAGTTTAGTGGAGAAATTTTAATTTAAAAAACAATTTCTATGGATGGATTTTAAAATTAAATTTGTTCAGATAGGAATTGTGTTCATTAAAAAAACATTCGTCAGTTAAGACCATCTGGTAGTTTGGATAGCATTCCTAAAATAGTAATCATTTCTCTTCCATTCAGGTTATTTCCAGAAAGAACAGAATGGCAAAGTATGAGAAGGCTGAGGTAAATGGTTACTTAATTAAAAAACCCTTGTTTAATCTCTTTTTCCTAATAATTATTGTATCTTCTTAGATACTGATGGGTCTCAATCTCACCAGAGTCCCTTTATTGTATAGTGGTTACAGTTTTAAAGACAATCTTATAATGAATGTACCCTGACCTAAATTCTCTGCATGGTTCCATGGCAGACCAGCGTAATACTGAATTCTGCCTCAGAACAATGGGATAGGAAGTCTGTGATTTCTATTTTACAAAGTGCCACCATTTGGTGGAATCTTTCAGAGGCATACTCTAGTGGATTCACATTAGAGAAACTGAGTGTGACTAATGAACTGATTTATTTCCTCTATGCCAGTGAAATGATAATCATTAAAAATGAACTTAATTTATGTCCTAGTAAAGCTGGTAAATGCTAACTAGTGGCATATATATATAACTAGTGGCAAAACAAAATGTGAGATTGCTAGTGTGTTTCAGTGACTCGAATTGTCTATGAACACACTTGACCTAGAACCCTATCGATAACATTTTCAATATACCCACAAACTTTTATATATTTATGCATATATTTGTATATGCATATATATATGTAAAAAATATTTTACATAATAACACAATTGCAAAAAGAACATTGAAGAAAATCCAGTAGAGCAAGACAGTTCTAACGTTTTCTATCCATAATTGGGTCGGTTTACCTGGTTTGGGTAGTCTTCTAGGGATGGGCTTTCCCTGAACCAAATCATAACAGAAAGTTAGAATGACTTTATCTTCTTGTCTCAGTTCTGCCTGCAGTTAATTGTGTGATCTGGGAAGAGTCACTTAATTCAGAACTTGCAATTTCCTCCTCTGTAAAATAAACAATTGATCGTAGAAAATGAACTGGTTCTTCTAGATGCAAAAATGGTATACATTTAATAAAATCTTAACCATTGCTAAAGATCTAGATTACCTGGTACTTCCCCGTGTCAGTTTGGCCATCTTATCTCTAAATGCAGGTTGGACCATGCGTTCATTATGTCCTTCCTTGGAAAATAGTTTTGTTTTTGTTGTTCAAATAAGTTTCATAAATGTGGGAAAGAATCAACTTGCTTTTTTTTTTTTTAAAGTATTTTCAGAATGAACAAAGATTGGAAAATTATTTACATTTTCTTTCTCTTTTTCCCTCTGTTTCAGATAAAGGAGATGGGTGAGATGCATAGGGAACTCAATGCATAATGACAGTAATTTGAAGAGTAACTACAAGAAGGGAAATTAGCAAACAGACTCTACAAATGTATGAGCATGGGACAAAGAGAAGATCTTTGAGGCCTACTATTTTGTTAGTTAACCTCATATATTTGTAATAATGAAACCTGTCCTCAGAATATAAGCAGCATAAACTTAACTTTACCAATCTTAAAATTTGACTGAAGAGTCATATATGCAGATCTGATATAAAACTCAGGAGTTTGCATGGTTAAAATTATTTATGTGTAATATTGAAGAGCGTGCATTACACTTTCACAGTAGAATTGGAATGACTAGTCTCATCCATTTGTGATTGAAAGCTGCCTTTCTGTTTACTTTGAGTCTTGTACATATTCACTTTTTTTATTAACTATAAAATAAAACATTTTAAAACTGAATTTCCTAACTTTGAATTACTGAATCAAATTTCATTGTATACACATGATAGGCTGAGAAATGCTCTGAATGCTAACTACAAATTAGAGTGTTGCATGAGTACTTAAGGTTACATATATTCAATATATATGTATAACCTATAACATGTAACTGCTTGATGGAAAAAATTTTATCGTGAATGAATCTTAAGATTTTCTTTTAAACAAATAGGCATTTTGACAAACAACTTGAGGCAGAATTGATGGAGAATGTTGTGGACCATGAATTCTATTGTCAGTGGAGTTAGAAGCACCAATTTTTCACATCTTATATAATTAATATGGTGCAAACACATTTTATGTAAAGTTAAAGTATCCTGAAGTATTTTGCTTTTGATAGGAAATTTTTAAAAACAATATGAAAAGAACATTAAAGAAATATAAAAACTAGATTTAAATGTACCTGTAATTTTCATCCCTTCTGCAGAATCCTAGGATGGCCCTCAAGATTTCTTACCCCTAAGTATGTGCCCTATATAATCCCCTCCTCTAGGGCAGGACCTCTGAATATGTTGCGCAGTTACTCCTAACATTAAGTTACATTATATGGCAAAGGTGAAGGAATTTTGCACATGTAATCAAGACCCCTAATCATTTGACTTAATTAAAAGGGAGATTACAAAAGATGCTTCAAAGGTAAGAGACAAGAAGCAGAAACACTGGATGCACTCTCACGTTAGCCTTAAATCAAACCACTGTGTTGTGTAGAGGGTCACCTATGGGCCTATTGGACAGCAGGCCATCTCTAGGAGCTGAGGGCTTCCAGTAACAAACATGGGAACTGAATTCTGCCAACAACCAGTGAGCTTGGAAGGGGACCTCAGCTCCAGCCCTGGTGAACATCTTCACTGCAGTCTTGAGATTGTGAGAAAAGAACCCAGTTATACTATGCCTTGGTTCTTGACCCATGGAAATGAAAATAGTGTTTATTCTCTAAGATGCTGAATTTGTGGGAATTTGTTATCCAGTGATAGAAATTCATACAGCCAATATAAAGCAATGAGAGCTTTAAAGATAATAGGAAGAGCAGATAGAAGCGACAGCCACTACCCCTAGGGCTGAGATAGCACCAAAAGAAGAGACCCTTCCTACTTTCTTCCCTCAAACTCCACGCCCTGGACTGAGGTCAGACCTTGTTGGAGAGAGCACTGTGGCTCTCAGGGAACAGCAGGGAAGTTGGCTGTGGTGCTGCACTGGCAGAACTTGTTGAAAATCTGCCTTTGGGAACTTGCTGGAAATGAGCTCTCTAGGGCAGAAGTCATCAAATTACAGCCTGTAGCCTGGCCCACCACCTGTTTTCATACAGTTTGGGAGCTAAGAATGGTTTTTGCATTTTTTAATGGTTGAAAAAAAAATCCAAAGAATCATGATATGTGAAAATTACCTGAAATAAAAATTTCAGTGTAACAAATCAAGTTTTATGGGAGCATAGCTACACTCATCTATTTATTATTGTGTATGGCTGTTTTGTACTGCAAGAGTTGAGTAGTGACAGACCCAATGGCCAGCAAAGCCTAAAATATTTAGTTCTTTACAGAAAGTTTGCTGATCTGCTGTTCCTGCTGTAGAGTGCTGGGATGCACTAGTCATAGGGACGTGTCTTACCAGACATCAAAGGCACTCTCTAAAACTGCCTTTTATAGTTTAGGTGCTCAGGGAAGCTGCTGGCTGCTGCCAGCTGCAGAAACAGCAGTGCTGGAGAAGCTGCCCTTGCTGCAAGAGCCGGACAATGGAGAAGCCCCAGGTGCTGCTGGAGCTGAGCCCTGGGGAAGCAGCAGGTGCTTGCTGCAAGGGAAGCAATACCCTTTCCTCTTGCAGCGTCTCTCCAGCGCCCTCTACTGACGAAATTTCGGATCCATTTTTACAGAGCAAGCAAAAAGGATGAATTTGGAGTTAAGAGACAATAAATCAATAACTGGCACACTCTTCAACCCAGTGCCTTCTAGTTTATGTCCTATCTCTTCTGAAGCTACTTTTGCCAAAGTCAACAATGACCTGCTAATTTCCAGTGGCCTTTGTTCCCCAGTGTTTATTCTTTTTTTTTTTTTTTTGAGAGGGCATCTCTCATATTTATTGATCAAATGGTTGTTAACAACAATAAAATTCTGTATAGGGGGGTCAATGCTCAATGCACAATCATTAATCCATCTCAAGCCTAATTCTCGTCAGTCTCCAATCTTCTGAAGCATAACGAACAAGTTCTTACATGGTGAATGAATTCTTACATAGTGAATAAGTTCTTACATGGTGAACAGTACAAGGGCATTCATCACAGAAACTTTCGGTTTTGATCACGCAATATGACCTATAAACCATCAGGTCAAATATGAATATTCATTTGATTTTTGTACTTGATTTATATGTTGATCCCACATTTCTCCTATTATTATTATTATTTTTATTTTTAATAAAATGCTGAAGTGGTAGGTAGATGCAAGATAAAGGTAGAAAACATAGTTTAGTGCTGTAAGAAGGCAAATGTAGATGATCAGATGATCAGGTGTGTGCCTATGGACTAAGTATTAATCCAGGCTAGACAAGGGCAGCAAGACATCCACGGATGCAGAAGATTTCTCTCAAAGCAGGGGGGGTGAGGTTCTGAGCCTCACCTCTGTTGATCCCCAAATTCTCACCTGATGGCCCCCCTGCGACTGTGCCTGTCTTAGGTTGTTCCTCCCTTGAGGAATCTTACCCGTCTCTGGCTAACCAGTCATCTTCCGGGGCCATACAGGGAAATGTAAAGTTGGTAAGTGAGAGAGAAGCCATATTGTTTGCAAAGGTTAGCTTTTTACTTCTTTGCAGATTTATGCCCTGTGGCTTCTATGCCCAGCACTTGTCTCGAGGTATCTTTACCACCTGGAGGAATTATGATACTCGGTAAATTCGATATGAGGCACGAATTCTATTTAAGGGTTGTAATTAGGAAGGAAGAAGAAAAGCTATAGATGTAGCATATGAAGGAAACTTGGGAGGATTGATTATTTCTTTGACATATCTTCTTGTATAGTACCTTAAGTATGTATAGGTTTTAAACTACTAACTAATTTGCACACACATATTAACATAATAGGAATACGGTGACATAAACAAAGCAAATCTATAATTACCAGCCATCTCCAGTGAAGCCAAGAAAACCATTTAGGCACCCTAGGCATTTGTGAAAATTTATCTATGATATGATGGATATTTTCCAACTGTACTTGAACCATCAGACAAATTAAAGCAGCCCATTTCTGGGATCTGTTCACATCCCATATGTTCTTTTAACCATAGATAGTCTATAGTCATGAGATTTTGGGGTGCTACAACTTGCACCCCTCCCAACTCCTGGTTGAGTTCCAACAGTACAGATCCAGTCAAATTCGTTGTCTCACTGTATGCACATGCCAGCCTAGACATCTCCCTCCTCCTTCTTATGGCAAGTCCAGGAGACGGTGGGCTGGATGCAGCCACAACCGCAGCATCGTCCGGATCCCTGTGGAGGCTTTTTGATGATCATCCCCCGGCACGAGTCCTCCAGAGAGTGCTGATGCCGGAAGCTCCTCCTCATATCGTATCTTAGTTCATTTTCTGGGTAGCCAAGCTAGGCCTTAATCTTCTGCATAGAAACAAATAGACCCTTTGCCCACACTCTGACATGCCCTCTATACCACTGTGCAGAACTCATTGGAGGTCAGCACACAGTAACTGCTTTTTTTTTTATTAAGAGAAAGGAATATTATCAGAAAAGAGTACCTCCATAGCTGATCATCTGACACCCTTTAAGTGATCAACATTAAGGATATTTAAAGCATGTGTTGCCCAGTGTTTATTCATTTTATCGCACAGTTCACTGCCATGATGACTGCTCCGTTTCCTACCCCAGTGTGCTGCCTACAAATTTTCTTCCTTGGCTTCACTGGCATTAGTCTCCTCGGGTTGTTTTCCCCTTCTAACTCTGAAATACTGATGTTACCAGGATTTATCCGTCTATTTTTCTTCTCTTTTTCTTCCTGGAGGATTCCATCTTTCCCTTACCTTAGCTATTATCTAAACCTAGATAAATAACAGAAGCACCATCTCCATTTCTGTCCTTCATCCAGAGTTCTACACTAAACTTCCTATGTTTCACTTAACTAGCCTTTGATGATCTATCTTATCTTTCTCTACAAACCTAGTTCGTTTCTTGAATCTCAGAATCAGTTGATTGCATTATCACTGTGTACCAAGTCCTAAATTTTCTTCTGTCTCTTACATTCTCCACCCTTTAGTTATCAGGAATAAATGCTCCTCAAATCTGCTGTCTCTTACACACTTTCACTGATCTCTTTCCCACCAATCTATTCTCTCTCTAGCCCAAACTCCATATTGCTCCCAGAATGATTTGCCTAAAGTTGATCATAGCAATTTTATACAACGCAAATCAGCCCCTCCCCCCTCTCGGAGGAGCATACAAGGCCTTTCAGTCTGGCCCTTCGGTGAGTACTCTTTCCCCGCTGCGCTGTCCAGCATTGCATCCCCTTTTCAATCTGGGGAGAATTCTGTGTGTGGTCTTAATGGGAGCCAGTTCTCTACCTGCCTCTCCAGAAGTTTGAGGGCAGAGATCCTCCCTCTGCTATAAACATCCAGGGCACAGGCACTCCCACCTAAGACTTGGAATCTTGCCATAAAAAGAAGGAAGAACAGTTGAGAAGACACTCATGGGCAGCAGTGGGGTGAAACCAGCGGCAGCCACAGGAGTGTCTGGGAGAGGCATCCCAGCCCCTGGGCCCCTGTGGTGTCCCCAAGCGGGGGTTGCTCTGCCTACCCTCCCTTGGCTCCTTCCTTTCCATTGCCAGTACCCTGCGCACCAGAACTTTACCGCTGGTCTGGGGTAATGTAATTTTAGCTTCCCTAATACCAAACTCTTCAATCTTAGTCCTTTCTGTATATTATTCCCAGAACAACTAAAATAATCTAATTACAATCTACTTTATTCCCCACTA